CATCTTGCATGACCTGTTCGTGCCTCTCGCAGGCCTCACCAAATCCATCTCTAGCAGGAAGAGCCAAAAAAAAGAAGGACTCACTCCCTCCGCTTCCTGCCTCCCTGGCGCAGCCGCAGAAATCTCAAACGCCATGTTCGGATCCTGGAACGCTGCTCAGGGGTGAACGAGACTTGTGCCAATTGATAGGTGCCTTCATCAATGTATTGCTTTGCAGTTTTTCCACAGGACCATCGACCACGGGCAATGGTAGCATCCAGACTCAGGGAAGACTGAAAGAACCATGTAGCCCCTCCCCGCCGTAAGCTATATAGGGAGTATAGTCATCCTCGGCAAAGCCTAGCCGCCGCAGCAAAGAAGCAAACAGCTGACGAAAGCGATGAGGGCCATCAGACCACAGCAGACTCCTCTCTCCCGGTCGGCATAAGGAGGAGGCATAGGCAATCAAATCTGCATCCAGAACCAAAAGGACTTGCGGGTTGCCTTGTGAAGTCTTGCTGCCTGGGATGATGAGGCTCATGCCCTTGCCATGGCGATGAGGAACCACATGTTGATGTGACAGCGAGAGCATTTCACTGGTTCTCAGCATAGCATTGAAGCCAAGAGCGAGCAGCAATGCAAACTCACTGTAACCTTGCGCATGTGCCAATCCCATCATAGCCTCAACCAGCTCCCAATGAGCTGATACCCCATGACGTGGTGAGCGTCTCTGACCGGCTGCGGCCCCTGAATGCGACGACCGCTCCTCAACGTGATAGGGCGACCACGGGCCCTGCTGAAAAGCTTGCATTCAGGCGCCCAATGCTCCACAGCTAAGCATGGGTCCTCCATGAGGTCTGCTAAGGTCTGCTTTCCTTCGGGAGTGAAGAAATTGTCACCAAAGAACCAGTCGTAGGGTGGCTGCACTTCAATCTTTCCCACCATTGCCACCGCGTGACTCAGAGGTGCCCGTCTGCCAGCAAACCTCTCACCAAACTTCGGGATTCGCCAAGTGCTCCTGGGACAGACCTCATCACCTTCTCGGTGCGTCAAGACACACGAGAGTGAGCATAACGTAGCCCCACACACCGCTGGACACGGGTAACGGTCATGCCCCGGGATGTCCTTTCCGCATTGAGCACATACTGCTGGGTCGCGTTCGATGGTGCATGGCTCAGCCTGAACCTCCACGGCCGTGGCTGCTCCACCCCCTGTGGGCGAGGCATCGGTGACCGACACCTCGGGGTCAATCTTGGCCTTCAAGTACGTGTACATGAGCGGGGTCAACAGAACAGTCAGGGCCACTTCATCCCAGCTGTCAGGTCGAGGCGCCTCCCGGTCATTCTGCTTGGCCCTCTCACTAATCTCCTCAAACACGCTCTCCAGGATGGAGAAGAGGGGCCTCCTGAAGCAACATCCAAAAGATGCCTTTCCCACGAAATGCCTCAGCTCAGCCTCTGACCACTTTTCTTTGGCCAGGAGGGTGGCCCCTAGTGACATCACGTCCACCATCTTCTGAACTGCCAACCCGTAGCGACCTTCTTCTCCATCAAGTTCACCGCCCTGCAGGGCGCCCAGCGTTGAAGCCACTAACCTCTTGCCATCGTTGAGTGGCAGTGCAAGGTCCTCACAAACTCGGAGGAAACGCTTGTGCCTCTCCGACATCTCAGCCCTTCTTGAACTTCCTGAGCTGGTCATAGGAGTCCAGATAGATGACCGTCAGGTCCTCGTCCGCGGGCAGGGGCTGAGTCTTTGCGATCTCGGACTCCACTGGGATGTCTGCCTCCTTGAAGACTAAAGACCTCACGATGCTTTGCACCACAGCCACACTGCTCACCCAGCCCATCGGCAGAACAGCCATTGCAGGATACACCATCCTTCCTGCAGCTCCTCCCAGCAGGGATGCGTCCACTGGCTTCTCAAATGCCATAAACTTGTACCAGACTGGGGGCAGGCGGAACAGGTTGAAACAACTTGTGAAATCTTCAGAATCGACCAACCACACCTCATCCTCCTCCTGTTCCAGGAGGGTGAGCTGCCCCAGGTAAGGCAGAAGCTTGTCATCGCCCTCCAGGCGGTCCTGAAACATATTGCTTGGAATCAGATTGCTGATGAACCTCTGGGTTTGCACCACCTTCCCTCCGATCTTCTTCTCCTTCTTCACTGCACCAGCTCCATTGAGCACCGGCCTTCCCTTCTGATCTTTGAAGACCTCGTCCAGCTCGACTGCCACCATCAGCCCTCTCTCGTGGGCGGCCTTGACCACCTTGCACCACTCGTCATCTGAGGCCCTCACTCTGGACTGATGGGGCTCACTTGGCCACTCATGAACCGGCTTGAGGCATGACGCCGGGTCCAACATCTTTGCCTTCAACTTCTCTGGAAGGAAGGACAAGGCGTCCTGAACGGCTGCCTGTCCCACCCCCGGCCAGGCCGCTATCACTTTGTCTGCCCTGATGTCCTCCATCACCACCACAGGTTCTCCCTGGTAATCAAAGCGCACATCAGCCAAGCGCTTCGCTGTCTCTTTGTATCTGCCGCACCTCAACTTGCGCTCCTCTACATAATCCAGAGCGCGCCTCAAATGGTCGACTGTGAGCTTTTGAGCTTGAGTGAGCTCATTCTTGACTTCCGGTGTCGTCCTCATCTCCCGATGCGCTCTCATCCCCAGGCGTTGCCCTAACTGCGGCACTATCGTCGTGTGGAAGTAATGGACGGCTGCCGGCGGGGTCAATACGCCTTGGTCCGCTGGGTTCGCCCCCACAGTCCCTTGGGCTCCTTCGACCTGCATCTTCAAGAGGAGTCTTGAAGCCAGGCGGCCCGGTGTTCTCTTGGCGTACTGCATCAACTTGAGCTGGTTTGATGCCTTTGGGACTGTGGGGGCTTCGCGAAAAACTGCCTCCGAATCACTGGAGGACTCACCTTGGAACCTGACGATGTCACCACCGCCAAACGGTCCCCGGTCACGTCGCCCCTTCTTGGACGAAGCTGTGGCCTTGCCTTCAGCGCCTTCACCGAACAGGCCCTCCTCCTCTTCCTCACTGTATGAGGAGGACTCATCAATGTCCTTCTTCTTCCTCTTTACAACCCGGGACTCCTTGACCCGTTCTTCATCAGCGCCTGCTGCCTTCTTCTTCTTCTTACCACCTCCAGAGGAGGGTGACCCCTTCTCCTTCTTGCGCTTCTTCTTGTCTTTGGCGACAGGCCCCGACTTCTTCTTGCGCTTGGTCTTCTCCTTCTTCAACTTCTTGCTAACATCTTTCGAGGCGGCCTTTTTGCCTGACAGCTCCCGTTCCAAGCGCTTCACCTCATCACGTGCTTTCAAGAGCTTTGACTTAAGACCTTCTTTAGCTGGGCTGCCACTGCTCTCATCTTCTTCCTCTTCAGAGCCTTCTCCACCTGGGTCCACCCAGGGTAAAGCCCCTTTGGCCTCCTCGGACTTTGGCTCCATGCCTTTCTTCGACAGGAAGTCCATGAAGTGCTTTCCCATAGCCTTGCCAAAGGCCCAGGCTGGCACCCGGTTGTTGAACTCCTTCTGGCCAAGCACCCTGAACTTCTCAACGTGGATCGATGCCCCTCTCCTGGTGACCGTGCAGTCATGTGAGGACTCTTCACAGAAGTGGTAGGCACATTTGGCAGCCAGCTTCTTGCCTGCACCTTCTGTCATCCACCACTGCATGTGGGCATCGCTTGCGCCAACGAACTTGGCCGTCACCCAGTGCCCTTGGTCGTCAGTGGAAAGGGCCGCGGCGATCTCCAAGACCACTGTTCCCTGAGCGTGGCCTTCATTGTCTCTGATGGCGCATTCCACGACCTGGCCTGGGACAAAGCGATGGCCATACCATTTTTCACGGTCCACACCCCCCGCCAGCCACATCGGACTGGCGGGGGGGTAACACAGTTGCCCTGTCAGCCAAACAGCTTCGAAGAGTGGGGGGACATATTATCGTGGCTCTACTAAGTAGAGGCGACACTCATTGCAATGGAGCTGAGATGGGTCAGCTTTGGTCCATAATATCTTGACCTTCCACCCTCAGCAAAAGGGCCCGGGGGTGCCGCGGAACCAGGTCCAGGTCCGCCCATTTTATGGGTCGGTCGGTATAGGTCCGTTGCCCCGGGTCAAGGTCTCCTGGTTTTGACCAAGGTAACCATTTGGTCTATGCCGTTCATTTTGGGGGAAAAGGGATGATCGTCTTCACTTGTTGAATTGAAGGACTGAACCAGTTTCTCCTCCTATTCGCATACAAGGGCCACCAAACTACCAAAGTTTGCCAGACTCTTGGGGCAGCTGTCTATCCGCCCGACAGGGGTCAGGCGCTACACCCCGAAGCCAGCGCGACAGGCCGGCGCGACCGGTCGCGCGCTTCTTCGGGTGGCTTGGATTTCGACGGATTCCTTTTGGGACGGTGTCAGTGTCGTGGGTTGAGAAACTCGACGGGAAACATGTATGCCTTCGTCTTCGTCTTGAAGGTCTTTCCGCTCTACACCTCTCCACCTGGCAAATCTTCTTGGATCAATGGGGGCCCAAGTTGGGCCACACTCCAAAAACAGAACATCCCTTGAGACACATGACACGATGGCGCATCTTTCGCGCTCTGACCTTGGGGCCGCCCAGCCCAACGATTTTGAGACGTGCTCTACGACTCTACAGTGCTCCAGATCAATCCACCATGTCAGAGGTTCGAAAACTCACTGCGGAACCGACTTCACCGGTCAAAGCGTTGCCTCGGTGCTTCATCCCCGCTTCGGCCCTTTAGCCTTGCCCAAACGCGAGAAAAGTGTGGACGGAGTTGTCAGTTGTTACGTGGGTCGCGATGGAGAAGTGCGAGGGTGACATGCTGCGGTTCGAGGGTCGCCATGAACCAAGCTAAAAGTGAAACACATTGACTTAAAAGTGAAACACATCTCACCACATCTCACCATCTCCCCAAAGGCCCTAACGGTTGAGTCGGAAAAGCTGGAAAAAACGTAGGCTGAAACCGGGTTCGGTTTGGAGAGATGGAGCTTCACCGCCTTGGAATGGGGATGTGGGAGACTGTCCACCTGGCGAGTCCGTCCAAGCGCTCTCCCCATCCACTCCCCCCATCCACTCCGAGCTCCTCTCCGAGTGACGGCAGTCTCCCCCGCAGTCCGATGAGCCCCAGGTCACCACCCAGCCATCGCTGCGTAGGGCTGCGAAGGCTGAGGTGGAGGCCTCCGCAGCGCTCGTCCCGGAAAGACTCCGCTGCGTACGTGGTGCGTACGTGGTGCGTCCGCCGGTGCGTCCACCTCTCTCCCCAAGTTCTGTAAAGCCACAGACAAAAAAAGAACTGTGGGTGGCTAGTTTTCAAGTACTGTAAAAAAGAGAGAGAGAGAGAGAGAGCAATCCGACAAGTCTGCGAGTCGATATAAACACTGTCACTATGTCACTAGATGCATGCGCATGTTGATACACCTCACGCTTGATTCAATACTGGTTGGAGACTTGCATGTATGTGGTCTAGACAAATCTATCATGAAAGACAAGGACTTAATAATGGTGGTTTTTTCTCATTTGCAATCTCATGACAACTTATTACTAAATCCTTGGAGAACAGATGGGCCTAGGGTGACCAAATGTATGCCAAATGTATATCCAAGAAGTAAAGCCTAAGATTTCCCTACCACGACCTTTAGGGCAGGTCATGTGCCTGCCAAACGAATTGAACAGGGAGAACAGCTGGACCAGCTGTTCCCATGCTCACCGTGAGCCACTGTTTTAATCACGCCACGTCCAGACATGCCCTAATGGCCTTCGCAGGCTCCCAATCCGCCATGCCCTAAGGATCCGGACCCTCTGAGTGCACCCCCCTGTTATCGAGGCTTCGACCCCTTCTATTCTATGGAGGGTCCGGACCTCGGATCCTTCGGGTGGTAAAGAGATGCCGGGTCATCCACCGATTCCGACCGAGACGGAGACCTGTCCGCCGAGAGCTACCCATCAATAGGTCGGTGAGGTGAGGTGAGGTGCGGGAGGTCGGTGCCATGATCCACCGGTCGGTGGGTGAGGTCATGCTGAGTCATGCTGAGTCGGTGAATTGAGGATCTGGTCAACAGTCCTGTGGTGGTTTATCCAGGTGGTCATCCACCGGGAGATGATCGATGCTTCAACTGACCAGTCCAGTTACCAGTCCAAACACCCCGAGCCGTTTTTGGTCACTCACCAGTCCAGTCCTGTGTCCTGTGTCCTGAAAAAGGGGTTTGGTCCGTTTCAAAGGGGGGTTTGGGTCGTCATTCAGTTGAGCCGGGCGCCATGACCCACTGCCATGACCCATGCTTCCCTTCAATGTTCGGTGCCTTTGCCGGAAGTAGATTCACTCCAACTCGTTCCATCCAGAAAGATTCGTTGGCTCATGGTCAAGCTCTAGAAACCTTTTAATCGATGATTCGCCCGTGGAGTTGGAAAACCAACTGTCCTGAAAATAGGAAAGCCAAATGAACACATCCTAGACACTCACACAAATCTTCGAAAAGCACGATATAAATCGATAAAATATATAAAGCCTCGGTCCCGCTGTCGCACCAAAGCTCCCCAAAAAAGGTCTTTCACCCAACCAGGTATAACCAGGTAAGCCAACACAAAACCCTCCGATGATCCTATCGAAAACCTCCAACACCCCCCAGCCCACCTCTCAGGGGTAGGAACCGGAACTCCACCTTACCCACCTGGCCCTGCCGCCATCACCTGGCCCAGGACATCCCTGCCACAACGCCACACCGCCACCCCGTCACCCCGCCCGCGCTTGGCATCTCCTCCACCATCAGACACGGAGTTCTTTTCCAGGAGTCATGGCTCTAAAAACTCTCCACGTTCTCACCCCCAAAAATACCGCCCCACCCACCGACCCAAAACCCTTAAAAGAAGAAAGAACCCCTCACCCACCGCGCCAACCAACCGCGCCAACCGCCGTGCTCCGAGTTCGCCTGGATGGACTCAACGTTCACCAGCTTCTCTTGCACGGCCGCCGCGTCGCCGCCGCGCGCTGCGTCGCCCCAGGTCACCACCTGGCGGGCTCCGGGGAGTGGCGGCGGGTTCGGCAGGGAGAAGGCAGAGGCCGAGACGGCCAGCGAAGCACAAGGAGGAAGCAGGTGAAATCGGTGAAACGGTGGGTTTTTCAGCAAAAGAAGGTGACCTGTTACACCTTGGGTTGATGACTCGATGACTCGATCCGAGATCCACTTTTCAGTGAAAACCGGACCAAGCTACCCATCCCGTCGTCTCAGACTGCCTTCCCATCACCGCGGATGGCCGCAAAGGCTGCGCCGGAGGCCTGCGACGCCGGAGTGACCCCCCCCGGATCTTCGGACCAAATCCCCCAAATCCCTCGTCCTTGGGCCGGTCGGTCGGAGCAGCGACAAGGAGCCGCGTTCGTCAGGTAGATAATCCGAGGCATGTCGCATTGGATCCAGATCTGTCGCCCATCGATGGGTCCTATGGCCCTAACGTTGCGTCAGGTGTAGACCCCGAGGTACTAAACATGGTAGGGCATGGTTGTACAGCCCAATAGGATCGACCAAAACCACCCTATCTTTGGAATGGATATTGTGGATGTTCATGGATGTTCCATGTGTAGCCATGGTTGTCAATGAATGTCTCAGTATAGTTCAGAACTTCTCAACACCTGGTGCCTTCTAACTCATACCCTTTAAAGCATGGTCCTTGAGTTCTGAACATGTTGCATAGCCATATCCTCTATTATGAATCAGGGTAGAACTCATTGAACAGAAGAAGATGGTTCGAATCTGTAGACCTCTCGGGCCTGTTGAGTCACCGGACCGGACCCGGTGCTGAAACACGGAAAGCGATCTGGGTGGGTGAATGACCAAAGATCAAATCAAAGCCTGGTGAACAAGAAGCATCACCAGCTGACCTGGTGATTGTGTGTGAAAAGGCTAAGGAAATGTGTTGACACCACAGCCTATTTGACAAGCTTGCACCCTCCCACCAATCATCAAGGACCGGACAAAACCAAGCGAAATCAAGGGTCTTTCCGCCAATCGTCTTCCCTCGAATCTGTGCCTGGTTGAAGGTTGTCCTTTCACACAAGCATGTTGCCTAGTGACTGTCGAATGCATGGAAACGTGAACCCGCCAGCCAGTACACATGTTTTGAGCATACAAAGCGACCTCGTTGTGGAGGACAGCTGGATGATAAAACCCTTGCACTTTCAGATGTTCATGCTGGTATCCTTGGCAGTCTATGCTTGGACACGGTCTTGGCTTTGCTAGTATACTTCGGGGGCCCTGTTGCTGTATGAGTATCGAGACTGGTCTCTGACTCTGAGCAGGGATTTGCGACCTCCACAAGCGACCTCCACGACGCCTGGGCACGGCCTCGGACCGACGGAGGGAGGTTTCGCCTGGATCTGCTGCACCTCTCGCAGCTCCTCTTGGACCTGAGCCGTGGCAGGGGATGCGGCAGGGAGCGCCTCGACTCTCGAGGGAGTCCCTCGCCCAACACCGACGAACGAGGCCAGGAAGGAGCAGCTGTACCGACCCCAGTCGGATGGCGGGGTTATATAGGACGTATGTTTGTTCCAAAGAAAACCATAGGATATATAGGATATGTGTGTTCCAAGTCACTCACTATATAGTAAACCCTGGCAACTGAGTGGTTTGCGCCACATCAGAAGGTACCGACCCATTGGCCGCTCGGAAAACGGGTCGGGACTGAACGGATGGACGTGGTCCAGGGCGTCCCCGGCCTGAGATGGTTGAAACCAATCCCGCCGGGGAGGCCTGAGGCCCTCTACTTGGCCAGTATGGAACAAAGGCATGGCGACTTCTCACCACTCATCTCTTAGAAAGTACAGACCTATCGTGTCTATAGAAGTGGATCTCGGACAGACCTCTTGGGCGAGATTTCCTCCAGCAAAGTTGACTCGGCCTGTCATAGCCTCTGGCGTTGTTGGGGCTTTCTCCCCAGTGCAACAACCCCACCTCAGAACGTAACGTGTTGCCATTCTCCAAAGGCAAAAGCTTCAATCCACTTAAGTATGACAATAGCTCAGTGTCTGAGAAAACGAGTCTGTTTAGAGAAATCGTTAGTATCTCCAAGTCAAACCTGCTTGTGTTCTCAACTAGGGAGACCGACACCCGGCACCGACCCCCTCAATTCGGTTTGGAAAATCGACCAGTCTACTGGTCTCAGTTGGGGGGGGCTTCCCATGAAAATGCATCCTCCAAGTATTTCTTCCTGCACCCTCCAAGTACGCTGGACACCTGATAAACAAGAGGTGCCAGGTGCCACTCCACCCTCTCCCAACCCTCTCCTCCCACCAAGCCGCTCGCCGCGCGTCGCCGCCCCGCACCGGGTCGCCCCAGGTGACCACGGTGCCATCGCACTTCAGCGCGCAGAAGGCCGAGAAGGTCGCCTGGGATCCGCCGGTCCCATCCGGCAGCGTCACCGGCGGTCACCGGTGGGACCGGGGGGCGCTCCGGTCGTGCCTGAAGAGGATCGGTGCATCCAATTGGAAGGGATATACAAAGGTTGCGAGGTGGTGTACAAGAGAAGATGGCTTTTGAAAGATGGGCGCTTCGAGAAGTTCAATAAAACGTCTAAGTTTAACTTGGAGATGGCATGATATTACTATCGTAGTGGCATATTCGGAACCGTCCATCTGTGTGTGGTTCATGTGGTGAAGCCCTCCATGACAAGAATCCTGAAAATGAGCGAAAGAAGAAACGAAAGCACCAAAGCTCTCGAGACAAAATCTTTGTCCAAAACGAGACAAAACCACTCAGAAAACGGTGTGTAGATAGTTCGCCCTCTATTGATGCACATCTCATGCAGAACCAAACTGTCTTGCAGACGCAACACGCTGCACCAATACCAGGAACACCGACCAAGACACGAGAAAACCGGTCGTCCAACAGGTGTTTTTTTGCTTTCCGAACCACCAAGCACAAGCCAAACACATGCCAAACAGGGCTGCCGGCATGCCGATCCTCTCCATTCAACCACCTCCCGGACGCCGCACGGACTCTCTGCGTGCCTGGAGCGCCACCACGTCGTGGAGCTGCGCCCGCACGGCGCCTGAGCGGACACGATGCTGGAGCGGACCGAGGACCGAGGGCCGGAGCGGACCGAGGGACCCCCATGCGTTCGAGCGGACGACGACGTGGAAGCCATGGGCCAAAAGGGCAGGTGAAAACCGCAGGCTATACCAGCTGCGCCACCGTTCGGGGGTCACCTGGCTGGATATCTCCATGATTTAGAGGGCACCCCGACAGGAAGCGTTATAGTCATAGTCATATTATGTCATGTGGGTCAACGGTCAGCGATCTCCTAGCTTTGGACAATCACCCGCCTGCTGCGACGAAGCGACCCAGTGGTCGACCCAGCGACGGCGTCGACCAAGCTACGGCGTCGACCAAGCGGCGGGCGTTTCTGGGAGATCTGCGATTGCTCTGTGCCCTGAGAAGCCGAAGTTGAGTCCTATCTATCTAGGTCGGATTCCGAAAACTCTTCCAATTCCCACCGAACATCCGTCAAGAAGAGTATTGTCATGCTTGCTAGATGATGATGATGATGATGATGATGATGATGATGATGATGATGATGA